TTCATTCTATATTTTATTCTGTAGATTGTGTACATTACTTTTCACTTTACTGCTTGTTGCACTCCTGGTTGGAAGCTAAACTGCATTTCGTTGTCTCAGTACCTGTAATATGTGCAATAACAATAAAGTTGAATCTAATCTTGAGCAGGAACAAATGTATTTATTTAGTACATATCTGGCATTAACGATTAAACACATTTGTGCATTCTTTATAAATGCAAACCGAGTCAAGCCGACTCCGGAGGTGGCGGTATGCACCTTAAAGTTGTTTGCAATCCGCCAAAAAACCGAGAGAAGAAAAAGAAGAAGAAGACTCGGAGCTGTCCAACTTCAGGCGAGCTTTTTGAGACCTCCCCCGGCTGTGATCGGCTATTCTCGTCTACTTTCGAGGCGAGCCGCAACGCGTCTCAAACAAGCCTAGTGTGTGCGGAGGAAATACAGTTTAAACTGCCGTTGCAGGAAAGACGGCCGGCCAAAATCACCGACTGTGTGAACGTGAAAATGAATAGAATATCACCTCCCATCTTCAGAGCAATCGGACTATTATAACTATTATTATACTATTATGTTAAGAAAGCTTAATTAAATATCTGCCACAACATAAGTAACCGGATCAAAGTAACATTACGTGGCCTACAGTGCGCGGCACTGTTAGTGCAGACGTCGATGTGTCCCATTATCATTCATATCACATCATAATGTATCATATATTTCCTTATCAGAGTCAGCTGAGCCGTATCTGGCCGTGCAACACTCACAGTGTCACATACTGCAGAAGTATTATTTTTAAGCAACACATTAAGTTGACGAAACACTCGAGTCAAATGTAATTAAAGTCAGATCCACTCATGTTTTAGATGGGGTGCCAGTGATATCATAAACCTGTTAATGTACGCATTCAAACACTTTTTTTTATTACCAGCTGTATTCATCTTGCAGCTGCAACTATTATGTGGCTTTTATCCTGGATAAAGTGTCTGAGTCATGGATGTTTAAAGTTTAACTTCTTAATATTTGTCTAATATTATAGTTTTCTTTTAATTCAGGAAGTAGGACGCTGCGCTGTCAGTACGCTTGTCCATGTTTGTGATTGGTCAAATGTTGCTAACCCCGCCCCTTTCACGTGAACGCGCTAATAGCCGGACAGAGTTACCGAGTTGATAACAAACGTCGTAGGACCGCTTAGCGAGATCGCGTTTGTTTTGGGTTAGTTAAGCCAAAGAACTCAAACATATCCAGGGTATATTGAACTGGATTCGTAGTATAGGCCTCAGCATTCAAGTCCATTCTTAACCTGGGAAAGAGTCTGTTCTTATGACAAAAAATTCCCAACTCAAGTAATGCAGACTCCTGCCGATAAAGGTGAACGTACATAGAGTTGCGATTGGTTTGATTTTGCCAGTGTCATACTGGGCAATTAGGTTAGAAAGCTAAGCTATTAAGCTAACCTCTGGATCTCGTATTAATATTTAGACTAGTGTTGTTCCTTTTTCTTAAATGTTTCTATTTAATTCACAGTTCTAGCTTTGCTTCTTGGCTTGTGTTGGTGTTTGAGCTTTAAGAACTCTGGTATTTTGCTTTCACGTAATAATGTTGAATTGGACTAATGAGATTATTTCTGCCATCAGAGCAGCTTTTCCCCAGACAATTTATTTGTTTACATAACTAAAACCCAAATTGACTAAATGGACCTTATGTGACCCTTCTCTTCATCTCTGTCTTTAAGTAAGGAAACCAACACAAGCTAGACAGTTTTATCAAAATCAGGGGCCCAGCACAGGTTAATTATACTCTTATTTTACAGTATAAAGTACCACAGATCTGCATTAGATGTTGGTGTGATTCCAGTAGGGAAAGGTCTTCATGAGATGCAGGCGAGTTTCTGTAAATGTACCACATATACACACACACTTACACGGTATTCACACACAGGCACCACACAATAGTGAACACGACACGAGAATATCATGGAAAGGATGGAGTTTCATTGATTCATTAATGATCCCCAGGTTAAGCACAACATTTTCTGCAAATACTGAAATGAGACTGTCAAGATTTCAATGGATCCATTTGACATAAAAATAACTTAAATAAATGTACATCTGCATATAGCTTATCAGGAACTCTTACATGCCTCAAAGGGTAAACACAATTAAACTGTACAATCATGATAGCTGTCGTTTACCTGAACCTAACCGTCACCATTTTCTTTTAGGGCTGTTAAGTGGCTCTAGCATTTTAAGTGTAGCAATTAATCCTCACAGGCTGTCCTTTTGATTTTAAGCCATCCATCAGCAACAGTCACATTATCTTTACTGGCAGAGGCACTGGTGCTTCAGAAGACAGATAAAAGCAGGACGTGGTTGGAAATGTTGATTTGTAGTTAGCCACTTCAGCTGATTGTGTCCAACTCAACTCAAATCCCTTTCCCCTTAAAACACCTTTGCTCCCAAACCAAACCAAGCAGAGACTACATTTAAAATGTTCCATAACCCAAATATTTGTTTGTCTAATGTCATTCACTTACTCATCCTGATTCTCTCAAAAATGTAGTTAAGTGAAGGAAGTGACTTTGGAAAGCCCCCTTCAATTACAATAACTGAGTAATATGGTGTTACATGGTCATTTTCCAGCTGTTCCCATCTATTTAAACTCTTACATTTCTTGTATGTGAGGTCAACACTTTGAAGACAGAGCTTTTATTGTCAACTAAATGGTCGACTATTTTTCCTCAATTAATCATTTAAACCATAGTGAAGCTCCGGAGGCATTTTTTTCAGTAATATTTTCAGTAAGTGAAGCGTCCCCTGGCCTCTAAATAGTGCCACCTACGAAAACAAATATCATCTTGTCCATGTCAACCCCATCTTTTTAAAAGATCATCACATCTGAGAAGCTGCTTACTCCTTTGCATTTCTTCTTTTCCAATAAAGGAAAATATAACGCAACAGAATTCTCACAAATTCACACAGTTCTAATACCATCGTCTGCTGAATTCTCTACAGAGGAAATTACATTTAGGAAACATGTCTAAATGAATGATACATCTTTTTGTTATTCTAAAATAGCAATGTTTAAAAACAGCTACTGTAACATACCAGTGGTTCTTCTCACTTCCCAGCACTATAGTTACTAGTCAAATAACCAACTGATTAAACCTTTATTATTAATTCCTCACTATTGAACATCTTTGCTTTGAGAGTAAACTAAAAATAAAATACCTGTTGCTGTGTGTTTGCCACATCTGTGTGTGGGGCATTGGAGGGTATTAGTGTGTGTGTGTGTGTGTGTGTGTGTGTGTGTGTGTGTGTGTGTGTGTGTGTGTGTGTGTGTGTGTGTGTGTGTGTGTGTGTGAGAGCAGCACACTGACCAGAATGGGTTTAGGATGGTAATTCAGCTTATCGCAGACTGCTTTGTCCCAAATGCATCATGGCTCTGCTGTGACCGCTTCACACACACTTCCAAAGAAGACTAATAGTTATTGACCTGACTCATATTTACTAAACAAGCATTGGTTTTCTTTTCTAAAATAAACTGTCTAGGGGGAACATCTGAAATAAATGATGTTTTGAAACTAATTTTTTCTTACTAATGACTGATTTCAAATACTCTGAGTGGACACAATGCAATTGCTCTGGTTTTGACCTGAAAAAGAGCAATGACTATGGTAATGATGTTGAAAGTAGGAATGACATTATAATTCTCCGCCTGCTGTGCTGAGGGGGCTCTTTGTGCTTCATTTGCTGTGTATTTGACTGATGTAGCCGCATCGCTGCTCCCCGAGTGATTTGGATCTTTTACAAAACCTTTTGTCTCATTAGTGTTTAAACCCGGAGTCATCAACACCAGGGGAAGCAGCCATTTGTGGTGGTTAACAGACAGAAACAAAGCTGAGACTCTTTGCCATGAGGACCTGACATTAATCTGCATGTCTCTGCCTCAGTCTCTGTTCACACACACACCAGTGTTTGCCACTTATTTATTGGCAGGCTGGAACATTTAACTACTGAGTTTTCAGGCTACAAAGGGCAAGTCCCTTAAGCAATTCCTAGGACTTATTAGGGCTTAGGGCAGATGCTTAACTAATTTGTTTATGTAGATCATTGGGGACAGTTTTAATTTAATTTCACCAAATGTCACATAGTTTCCGGGGATCCAAAAGCACCTTTACATGACATGCTCCTTGGATTTCCCCCTTACAGTTGACATCATATTTCTTAAGAATAAGCTGGATACAAAGCCGCAATAAGAAGATGCACAATATCATTTCACATCCCCATCCAAAGACAGAAGATTTATAGTTGACAATCCTGAAAAACCCTGCATATCACATTACATGACGATAATGTTTGACTTTTATCTCTCAGTATCTCATTTAGTTTTATGTACACTGCATTTGCACGACAAATAAGGTGTCCTTTAAATTAGGAAAGGTTTCTGATAACGGTACAATTACTATTACGGAGAAAGATATTTCGAGGGTAAAGAAAATGTATCAAGATTTGGTTTGTAATGGGATTCAAACTGAAATCTCAAATATGATGGTTAAACATTTATCAGCCCGACTTCAAAAAGTGCATAGTACATTATGCACTGAATTCCTATGATAAATTGGCATCACTTTGAGTGTAGCCTTTAAAACGAGTCATACTGTACAACACATTTCATATCAAGAATACTCTGGCTTTAAATCTTGTCCTGTAATCATCAAATATGACAATCATTACTAGGGACACTGGTTCAAACACATTTTCCTCTAAAAAAAAATATTGAAACACTGGAAAGTACCATTTTAGTGTTAAGCTGTGATTTAATATCGTCCCTGGCTAAATGTTCTGCCTCAGCTACCACGTCTACAGAAAATGTTAAAAAAAACTTCATCCATGCAATAAATCAATCATTTATTTTCTATAGTGTTAGCATTGATAGTGTGGGCATCAAAGCCTGGGGATTAAAAACATATATATATGTCGTGAAGGCCTGGTTCTGTCAGTGTAAACGGGTCAGATTAACAGCTGCCTGAACGGGTTTTAGGTTGGGTTTTAGGTCTTCTTTAACTTCAGAGGCAGTCGGAGCAGCACGCGCACGACTGCTCCCAGGTCACTGCCACTAAAGGTGAGAACTGTCATCCATTCATTACAATTTAGCTCCACAGTGGAGCTTATTACCAGTGTAATCAAGACCTATCGCTGCCTCCCACCAAATGACAGATCCCTTTGTAAAATGTAATTCTGTCCACATGACATATTATAAAATGACTCGATACTTCCCCAAAAGAAATGGTTGACTGAACACTAATGGTGCTGAATGTTATTAGCTTCATTATGACTCTACAATCTGTGCTTTGATGAGTATTGCGCAGGTTAAGTGCTAAAAATGTTGATATCTGAAGGGCACACAAACTGCATGAGGACATTTTTGTACCGATCAAAGTTTTGCCAGTGTGTATAGTTACTGTCTAATCTCTGGCTGTCAGTTGTGTTTATAATAGCCTGGTGAGGGACAGCGCCGTGTTCACGCACCGTGTCTATTATCTGTCACACAACATCTGGCGCCAGGAAGTTGATGTGCTTCCTCATTCGGCTTTTTTAAAACTCAGCCGCTGGAAGAATTAAGCAGATGGGTATCAGCAGGGGCTGTTTTCAATCATGTAGAAAGCAAAGAACAAACAAAACCAGAGGCAAGCTAAATCCCAATAGTGTGCTATATCTTTTACAAAGCTCAGTAGCAAACGCACAAAGTCGACCACCATGAAATCCCTGTGAGATTGCTCTCAAGCTTCAGTGTGTGAACAGTGTTTACAGCAGAAGGAGAATGTTGTGCAAAACCTGGGTTGGGTCCTGTTTAATCTTTGGAGAGATGAAAGTTGGACCCGGTGAGAAGTTTGGTATGACGATACTTACGAAAGAGGACTTTTCAACAACGACAAACACAGAGAGATTTGGAGAACAGAGCCTTACCGTATTCTCGGTGAAATTGTAATCCAGGGAGTATTGTAATTTGCCCAGTTTCTGGTCCTCCTTGGGCTCTTCCTCTATCTCCGTTTCAGTCAGCCCTGTCTCTGCATCCTCCTCATCCTTCAAGGCCTGAAGGAGACACCCACCAAGAGTCAGTGTCGCCTGTTTGTCGCTGGCGCTAGCACCTAGCCAGCCGTTCCTGCCCAGGTCCTGCCAGCGGACCTACTCCTGTAAAAGCTGCCACTTGTTTTATGATGTGTAAGGGGGAGAACAGGGGAGGGGAAGCAAGCACTAAAACATCATAGCAGTTAACACCAGGACATGCTCTGTGATGCACTAAAGCCCCTCGACTGGTCCCCTGGTGATGCTCTTCTATTAATCTTTGGGTGTGTCTGTCTAAAGGGAGGAAGATTTCACCAGAGAAGAAGAAGGAGAGGAGGGTAGAGAGAGGACAGAAAGAAGGAGAGAAGATACTTCTGGAAAAGTTTCATGTTATTTCAGGCAGATCAAGTCTCCGGCATATCAACTGGGAAGAGTCTGCAGTGGGAAGTGAAGTTTCCCTTTTGCAGTGGTGGAAAGTGATTAAGTTAATGTAATCAAGTACTGTACTTATTTACATTTTTTATGTTACTTGTTCTTAGATTTTATATATTATTAATATAAAAACAAATTGTCTGATGAAATATGATATGGTACAGTAGATTAAGTTACCTGAAAGAATAAAAAGTCCTCCTTAGCTAGCTGCATAATTAAAATGATATCAACAAATACAATCCAGTAATATGCTACACTTCATACTATACCAAAAATGGCAATTCATTTGAGTGAGTAGTGTAGTTTTGGTAATAATATGTTGATGCTAATACTCATGTTTTGAGTGATATACTTTTGCTTGTTGAATATTTGTGGTATTATTACTTTTAACTAAGTAAAGGATGTGAGTACTTATTCCACCACTGCCCTTTGGCTAGCTTGGCACTGAGGTAAGGGTAGCAGGTGGTGGGGGGTGAAGGAGGGGTGGAGGTGGAGGACTTTGTTTTAAGACCAACATGCGATTGAAGAGGCAAAAACTAGCTCTCAAGGTCATTCATTCAGCATCAAAAGTTGCCTTCCAAGATGTCTCTTTCTGTTAGGCATGCAGAGCATTCTCTGAACAAACCAGTGCTCTCATGAGATTCCCCATTCCCATAACTCTGGTTACACCCTCAAGACATTCAGTCGCATTGTCATCATAACCCATGAAGCTTTAAAGTTATCCCCTACGCCGATGGTAGCTAGAAGCATCATGCCAGCAGTGGGGGGTAGGTGCTCCTATTAGTTTGTCAAGTAGCTCATGTGAAAGCAAAAGGCTGAACAACACTGATTGCGTCTGATTTTTTCCGCTGCGCCACTTTGGTCTCTGCCTTTTGTTCAAAAATCAGAAATTTTGTATTTTTAAGCACACGTAAAAAAAGGAAGCAGGGTAAAATGATTGAGGAAATGAAATCCCCTGATTTATCAAACAGGTAATTTTCATGATTATGAGGTTAATCCAATTTGTACGCATCTGTTCTCCAGGATATCTATGATCATTTTCACCCGGGTTGACAGATGTGAATGCAAATCCTACTGCACGTCAAAAGCTTCCTTTTGATCGCCAGTTTCAAAAGAACATTTACTTGTCGAGCCTCTCAATCATTCTACGTTAGCTCGACGCCACTCGTTTGATATGTAAATTAAAGATTCAAAAGGCAGCAGACTTTAGTTTGGCACAAAATCAGCATGGTTCAACCTTGTCAATGCATTGCACCCAGTGTTTCTTTCATTCATATATATGTGCATATGCAGGTTGTACACACATATATACAGTAGATATACATGTACTGAATGCATAGTTACATATATTTGGTTCTATGGGAGTAAGTTGTTGTCAAGAGGCTATAAAAAGAAAACATCAGAGCAGCAGGCTTAAGAAGATCCAACAGCAATTGGGAACCTACCGCCAGTGACCATCCCGAACAGTCATCAGACACAACAGAGATAAGGAGGACATAGAAGGAAGAAACACAAATTAAAACAACCACACACAGGAGTTAACACACCAGAGTCTGGGCCCACCAGGAGAAATGACCGCTTGCCTCGGAAGTGGCAGATTCACCATTCTCAGAGATGAGATTATTCATTTTGATTAATGACTACTTGAAAATTGAAAAAAAAACAGTTTTAAGGCAGCCAGAATATTGGAAATTAAGGGTCAATCGTTTCCTCTAGAAAGTAAAGTGCTGTACCGCGGCAATCTGGCTGAATTTGCTGTAAAATTAATAAAGTGTTTAGCTTTTAACATCTTATTTATACTTTCTTACCATATCATAAAGTATGAAAACAGTGTCACTGGTTTGTGTCTACATTTGAATCCACCTCTCAAAGCAGAGGTGTTGCAGCAAATTAAACACTCTTTGTACATGTTTCCACCGAGGGCGGGGGTATAATGATTCTCCGCTGGCGCAATTAGTGTGCTGACTCCATTTGAAGTGTCAGGGTTTCACTGCTTTCCGTTCGGTTCAGTTAAAAGGTAGAGCTTAATTACATTGCCTCCTATTTGTTTATCGTTTGGTGATGTCATTTCTCAGGGTGGATACCACTTCATTACACGGCAAATGTTACTCACACTCTTCAACATGTGAGCAGGTCCTCATATGACAAAAAGAAACACTCACAGGAACACAAATTTAGGAGAAAAAAAGAGAATTTGGAAATTGCCAGTTAAATGGCTTCCATTAACTCTCATGTAGTTGGAATGCATTATTGTTATATATGTTATATGTTATATATATTATTATAAAATGTTAAAATATCTATTTCTGTATGTATTTCTTTGGCAACAACTACCAAATATGACATACAAAATACATACAGCAGTGTAGTTTCATTAAATAATAAGGATGTTTTCGACCATTAGTTTCATACTTTTGTTGAAAACATAACCTAAAGTGTGTTGATGGAGTTACTGCAAATGTGATCAATAACATCCGTCATGATACAGCATTAAAAAACATTTAAAAGAGTATTTAGACCAGAGCCAAAAATGTAATAAAACTAAACATTATTGGCCATAGTTGAGAAAAATAATCCTTAACTTTAGCGTAAAGTAATGCACAGAGGATCCATTAAAAAATAAACGTTTTGGCCGTGAGCTTATATTATCTAAGAAGAAATATGTTTCGGAATTTGAAGGAACAAAAGTTCAAAGCCTTACCTCGGTTTTGGCTCCATCTTGGACATCCATCATGTTGATGGCATTCTTGCCCTTGTCTTTGCCCTTCTTTTTGTTTTTCTTCTTCAAAATCCATTTTTTGCAGACGCAGAAGCAGCATGCCAACACCAGAATGATAGCCACAAAGGCAATGGAGACAACGGCCCATGATGGCACTGTGGAAAGAGCAGACAGGAAAACGTTTGGATTAAACTTCTGGGAGAAATAAAACATTGCAGAGAAGAAACAACTTTTCTCTAAACTGGGTCAAAGCACAATTTGAAGGAATTATTCTAGCAACTGACTGAAGTGAGATGAAGGCAGGAAAATGTGTGTGATTGCAGGGTTGGCACACACTAGATCAGCACCTAAGCTCCTCAGACTCCTAACGATCGGACCTGAGTCGCAGGACAACACCCGACTGAACAGCTTCAGCCAATTTAGTGGAAGTAACAGATGTTGGCATTTTCCACTTGCCATTTAAACAAAAGATTCTCCGACGGCTGACACTTTCACGGCAATCACCGGCAACACAGAAGTGAGAGTGAAGAAAATTGCACAGGGTGGGCTTTAGAGGCATTAACAGTGAAAGAACCATGACAGGTCAATGATGCAGGAAAATCAAACAGATTCACAGGGTTTGACACACATTGTTCACATGCTCCCTGCTCCTACATTACCTTTAAAAATCTGTATGAAAGGGCTCTTTTGTGTGGGATTCAAGGCTTAGAATTTCTTACAGATAGACTGCAGTATTAAACAAAATCCTTTTCTCAGAGGCGGAGCTGCTCATCCTAAAAAGAAAAGCCCAATTTCGCCGGTTAAATTGCAGTCAAGCAGAAAGAATAGTGAAAGGGTCTCTTTCATTTAAAATGTGGTGATCTCTCAATCCATTTCTCAGTGATAATGCCTTTGTCAAAACATGTCTTTTGAACCCTCCAGAGAACTGAGCCGGCCGGACCAATCACTACTCACACAGCTTGTCAGGTGTTATTACCTTTCGGCTACATTTTGGATTTAGAATCACCTAAAATAACTAGATGTCTTCTTTGACTTTGGACCATGCCACTTTGCTGTGAAGTGTTTACCCCAAAGGCCAGCTGTTTGTTGATGGTGTTTTCAGTTGCTTGGGGGAAGGTAGTCTTTGAGCTATAATTCACATTTCACCTGAAGAGTAACCGCCCTATACTCTAACTTCATATCCAGCAATCTTCACTGCAATAACTTCACGCGTCAATATTCCAAAAACATCTGAAAACGACTCTAATAAGTAGAAATGTATAACTCTTAATCGTTTTCCTTACAATGCATCTTACATTGTTATGTTAATTGTAACTTTCTATCAATTTCCGTTTATGCAAGTACTATATGACAATGTATCAATCAGTTCTTGCTAAAATCACAATTTCTTTCTAACATTTGAATATATTTATTTGAGGAAACTAAATTCTGGTCTTGTTGAAGAGCTGCGATGCTGTAAAGATGATGGTTTTAAGAACTTAAAAGAAGCATATAAGTCGTACAGTTGCAATAGAAATTATTCAATTGAATAATTTTGAGACTGCACTAGTCATTAAGAGTTGCATTTGCTGTTGCATTTGGATAAAAAACCCTGTAATATTAGTTTCACTATGTGAACAGTTCTTGTGTAATTTGTTTACTGCAAACAGCTAAGACATTGTATATCTTTCCAATAAACCTAATGTGCAATGGGGGTTGAATGATTGCAATTGCAACTGTATCTCCCTCCACCATATGTTGTCACTGCACAGTGTGGACCTGACTTGAGAAATGACACAACCAGCCATCCTCTGTGTCACCTGCCACCTGTCAGATACTTGTCTCTTCAACTCGGTGATGTCTGCTGCAATCCCAGCACACCTTCTCAGCCACAGACAGCCGACACACACACTTACACACTAACACAGCGATGGGAGAAGTTTGTTGCTTTAAGTAGCGAGTAGAGAGACAACATAAAGTCCAGATGGAAAATAATGAGACCTCGCAACAGACTTCTCCCTTCAGCAGTCATAATCGTTGCTCTGTCATTCTACTCAGCAGACACCAAACACCTGGCAGCCCATCCCCCATTTTAATAGAGAGGAATAACAAACAAATGAGCCAATTTTATGAGCATTATTTATTTGTTTCATCCCTGATTTCTCTTCTGAAAAGCAAAGGGAATACTTCTGAATGAGGCAATTTGGACAATGTGGAAAATATGCAATTACGAAGAAACAAATATAAAGTATATATTTTCTTCCATAGAAAATGTCCTTTCAGGGAGAAACCTAATAGTGGTCATAAATCCAACCAAGCAACTGATGAGTCTAGCCAAGTTATTTGAAGACCTTTATCTGAAAACCCCCCAAAAAGACCCATCAAAACCGAAAAGTATATTTCCTTCTATCTCTCTGGGGTTTTTGTTCGCCAGCATTCATCTGTGGTTTCTTCGCCAAGGTCCGAGGTTATAGAGAGAGAGGGGAGAGAAATCGATGCTCTGTTGACAAAATCAATAAGCACTCTCCTCCAAGGAAAAACAGTGAGTGATGCTCTAAAATAACTTCAGGATCTACAGCTTCTGCCTCGCCCCGGAGCCCTGTGCTGATGGAGGTGACACTGGATGGGACTCGTTTACAATGAGCCATCCAAAACTGACAGTTTCCTTTTAAAACTTGAAAGTATTCTGCAGATAAACTGTGGGTCAAGGAGAGTTTTCTGGGCTTATATCTCAGAAACATAAAAAGAGACTGGATCGCTATCTTGTGAAAAGACTATCAAAGTTAAAGATTGAAACTTATATTTCAATTTTCCTTCTACTTTTTAATAACGATATGACCATTTAGAAGTAACCATAACGTATGGCTGTATTAACAGTTAACAGAACATGTATTAATGCTTTACGGATCAGTTCATTGTTGATCTCCAATTCAAATTAAGTACCACCAAATGTATTAAACGGCAGACTACGAAGATTTTAAAAACTTTTATAGGTGATTTATTCACATTTCTAAGTGCAGACTCAATGCATTACAGTAGAAGGGAAGAAACACATAACTTTTTCCAAAAGATTATAAATCAAAATGTCAGTAAAATTGATTTATACAGTCTGGCAACTCTAATTTTGGTCTGTGTAATTGTTTGTAGCTGATCTAGATAGCTTATTTAAATTATTTATCGTCTAATTAAGTTAACAAAGTAAGAACCATTTCAGAGCATTTAACACTGAGTTGATAAAGAAGTTGTGGCATATTTCCAGGTTGCTTTTTGTTTTGTTTTTGAATCCTGCATAATTCAAAATGGATCACTGAAGACCTCTGAATGGGAGCATTCGGTGAGGGTACTGTGGCACATTCCAGCACTTGAAAAACGACTTTTACCTTCCACATACAAATGCAAACACAGTATGGTAAGGAGACAGTCTTTTAAATGGAAGTGTTGGAAAAGTGACATGTTTGTATTTCAAGCCAAAGCATTAAGCAAAAGCTGAAGGAACTAAGATGTTCCACCCAAATAGAAGTTTTTATGACAGAAATCCCACAGGTACCTCTCTATTCCATGAACCCAAAATGCTTATGTCACTCTATACTAACTCTTGCATTTCATCAAAGCTCACGACGTCTGATGGAATTTCATTTAGCCAGTTACAGTGCAAATCAATGCATGAACCCAGCCCTTATCTTATTCATCAAGCGTGCGTCTTCCAGTGAAAGGCCCTTCTGTGTTCCTTGATTAAAGAAACCCGAGTCCCAGAAAGCAATAAAAGCATCCTCTAATTAACTACATTTTGTGAGTGTCTTTTCTCTTTTTCTCTGTCTAGAGACAGGGAAGTTAAAAAAGTGAAAGAGAGAGCGAGAGGGATTATGGGTAGCACGCAAACTGCACTTCAACTCTGAGCGCTAATCTCTTGTTCCGCAGAGCTACATGGCGTGGTAAATGGAGTTCCTCTAATGGGTGGGTTGCGCATGATGAAACCCACGTTGGCTGTTCCTCAAGGATGACATGGCTTTTCCGCGCTGTCATTGAAACTGAATGGTGTCGGAGCACTAAACAATAAGAAACCTTCAAAGTACAGTGAGTCACATTCGTTGCACTATACTTTCTACAACTTTGCCTTTTTTTTTTTTTTTTTTTTTTGGGTGTTTGCTTCTACTTTGGGTCCAAGGATAGAGGGAACTATATCCTGTTATTAAAGTCAATTTGTGATTCTGGACTTTGCCATTGACAATGATTAATTTGTCAAACTAATAATGTCATAAAGATTGCTTCAAGTCTTATTAGGTTTTCTCCCCTTACTCAACTCTGTATTTATAGAGGATTTCTGTTGCACATCTCCTCCTCTAGATAATAAATGGCACTTTACATTTGACAGAAAGCTTTTATGAACCAGATGGAGGTTGATGGATGAATTCAAAGGGTGTGTACACTGTAAGTGGGTGTAATATTGCATCTTGGTTATATCCACTTCCTGCAGCCCACACTAATCCAATGTGACAGGACCCTGTTGGTCAATTAACCTTGACATTATATCTTGTTATGCTTATGAGAGCCTCACTGTCCGTGCCCTTTCCCCGCTGTGGCTGACTTAAGAGAACCGTATCACAGCAGCTTGGAGCAACTGGTTACATAGAAACTGATGATAATAATACTGTATTTAAAAAAAAAAGTCCAGTGTGCAAGTTTCTCCTTTTATACCAAAAAAAAGCCCGATCCATTATTCTGAATATTACTAGAAAATGAAAACCCACTTACTGAAAATCCTATGAGTGAAGTGGCACTACATTAACAGTACATATGTGGATTAACAACAATAGATCCGATAATAACACGAGATGGAAAAGAGCACTGATTGTAATTTCCAGGCACAGAGAAAAGTGCAGTTTAATGTGGTGCCTGAAGAAGAATGGACGGCTCTTTTTATAGCTTCAGAGCAACGGCATATTCAGAGTGAGTGAATGATTTAATTCTACACCTTTAGTTCAGCTAATCTGGCTATATTGTGGAGTTTTTGGAACATGACATGTAGGCATCAACTTCGGGGAATGCAATGTTGGGAGATAATTAGATTACATTAGGTATTCTTTATTGATCCCACATTGTTTTGTTACAGCAGCAGAACCTAAATCCAGCCCCATGTCTGAGGCACCTTCTTTTACAAGAGCTTTTCTTTCTCAAT